GCCGAAACGAAGCTCCGATTAAACGATAGAGACCCCCCTCTCCTTCCAGCTCCCGACCTTGAGTAGTCATTATATTTAAATCAGACAAAAGCTTTGGACATAATATCTTTTTGATTTACATAACGTTGGTTTTAACACAGCGATAAATGGAAGTAGTTCCGGTATGTAATGGCGGTGTAATCTGCTAATGCAAACTTCTAATAATTTCACATCATTTTGATTTGTATTTATTCGTCGAGAGTACAGAACATAGGTATGGACTAGAGCATGCAAGAGGATTTTTTTCTGTCTTGTGGGCCAAATTAATACGTGTCTCCCAATCAAGTGTCAGACCAAATTATTAAACAAAATTAATATTAAGTGAATTCAACAGTGTTGTCTCTTCATACTTGCCTTTACTACATACGAAGATATAATTTTGAACAAAGAGTTGTTAAAAAAACTATATTTTACCTAAAATTACATCATTCATATTTTCGAAACATTTTACACGGCTTTATTTGGAAATCTGTTTTTCAACAACAGATTTTATTACAAAAAATATCTACCTTTAATATTGTAGTTGTCAGACGACGTCGAAAATGGTTTGAACTTTTGCAATTTTTGAAACATCAGGGATTTCAATGAAAGTGATACCTAGACCATTCTTTTAAGCGGCCTTTGTTTCTATCCGTGGACAAAGTATAAACAATTATGGTGCTCCTTTTGAAAAAAAATTCAAAACGTTGAGATTTGACGCAAAGTATCCCCAAAAATCCAAATATCCCTTTCAAACTCTCAGGGCTTCCTGTTTCTTTAAATAAAAGGAGGAATCTGAATTTTGGAGGAAAACGGCTGGACAGTTTAGCCAAACGCTGACCAAAGACGAACGGACAAACAAACGGTCAGGCAGAAGTTTTCCCATCTGTTTATTTTTCGGTATCAAAGACCCACAAAACATGGATTCTGACAACTCGAAGTATTTAAGGAAGTAATTTACTACCTATAAAAACAAGGTTTAAATCTTGGTAGAAAAATCTTCGATTCCTTCTGCACAATTAAAATACATTTTTGCTGCGTACTTAATAAAGTGATAAAATAAAAAAAATAGCTACAGTCTTGGACGAGGAGTCAATTGAATGAGTTTACTGCTTACTCTCGGGTGCCGTGTCCACTGTGGATGTGCGATGAAGGAAGGAGGTCAGCGAAAGCTTCCAGGGCTGTGGAGCGGACGCTGGTGGCGTGACCTGGGGCTTCGTCGCCTCATGTGCTGGAAATGGCCGGAAATGGGTTTCTCAATTACGTTCTTGGATGGTTTCGCGCTAAGAATGCTGGCACGGATTTCATTTCGCGGAACCTAATTGAAGTGTGTTGAATGGATTCCCAACCATGGTCCCATAGTACCCAGTGAGAAGATTGAATTTAGAGTTATCCAGTATTTCAACTTTCCGAGATTTGAATTGCCCCCTGAGTTCGAAATGAAGACTTCTGAACGTCAGCCAGCAGAATATGGAAGCGGTTAATTAAAATATTTTGTTTTTTCTCACTTCTGCAGGCGCTTTCACTAGAACGAAACGTTTTCTACAAACGAAAGCAGAGAGGATTAGATAAAAACACACTATGAAAACATGACAGTTTCATGACAGTTTTCAAAGTGGAATAGATTGGCATTTTTGGATACTTAAATGCGTAAAATTTCTATTGATACAACAGTTTAAATATAAAGAATGTTTGAATTAATTAATATGAAACCAAATGATTCTGATGAAAGTATTACACAGTGCAATTTATAAACGAAAAATATGTGGTTGTCGAATGGAAATTAGAAAAGAAAGTACTTAGAGGAGTTAGTTGTAATTTCTTAAGATATCTATGTTTCACATTGTAATTGCTGCTGAGGATGTTTGAAAGATATTTTTTAAAGAATATACATTCCTTGTTTTGAATTTAATGGAATACTAACACCGAAATGAATCCACATCCTGTAGAATACAAAGTTGTAAAATATATTTGGTGCTTTAGTAGTTTTGATTGAGGCTTCAGTGACCTCCAAACTCTGCGACGGCCACTGTAGCCCAGGTTCGGACTTTTGGCAAAGCGTCCAAACACCCGGCATCAAATGGAAAGGGTTCGAGCTCGGCGTTAATCACCGGCGTAGGTGAAGTGTTGTTATTCTTAAACCACCAAAGTACTCCAAGGCCACAGTTAATTAGAGAGTCCTGGCTCGTCCAGTACAAATTCATTAGTCCTGTAAGTATAGTGTACACTTATATCGCCTGTGGTCATGGAGGTTTTGCCCCGCTGGTCGTCACCTTACACGTTGGCTAGATTGGTTTTCTCCAACCAGGTATCCCCCACTAACAGCCGGGCACCGCCCCAGCCAGAACAAGTTCATGACAAGCCAGGACATGTGTAGTAGTGAAGTGCATGTATGTGTAAATGTGAGTGGCGACGATAGAATAAGGAATAGGAAGGAAAGGCCGCGCGCGGTCCGTGACCCGTTTGTTAGGGTCCTACTCCGTCGTTCGCATGGTGTAGATCGGAGAGACAACGGAAAACTACCGATCAGAGCAGCCCGTCCGCTAGAATTCTCCTTCAGACATTGGTTGAGCTCGACCTAGCAATGTAACTAGTGCCTAAAATCCTACCACCTTCTGAACTCCAACCCTAGCATCTCACAGTCAGAAGCCCTGCACCGAGGCCGTAATGAACAACCCTTAACCGCAAGCCCGTTTTCTACGCGGAGCATGTGTCAAGCAGATCTGCGACCGGGCCGCACTGCGCGTCACGCAAACGCTCGGCGCCTCTACTGGTAATAACCCTCGCGCGTCTCCAGTTAAACGCCCGAGTCCTCGGATCGATTTCCGGCTGGGCAAATAGCTCTGGCGCGGTGCGGCGCGCGTTTGCTCACCGAGCGACGCGCCGTGTGGCGGGACCACGCTCTGCACACAGCCTCCGCCGCCGCCGCCGCCGTCGTCGTCCAACTTGGGCGCTAGCGCCGCAACTCGCAAACTCCGCTGCAGGGCCTGAGGACCCGGCGCGGCGGCGTCGACGCCCTGCGTGCGACGGCCGCGATACAGCGCGGGTACACGACTACACGATGGGATGCAGAGCGCGGGGGGGGGGAGGGTGGCTCAGGGCATCAACTGATGTTACTGCAGCCCCTCTGACCGGGCGGTCCTAGTCCTAGCCGGATTTTCGACACTGGCTTCTTAGCTAAGTCGAATTCAGTCGCTGTCTGGAGGAGAATTCAAGCGGCCGGCTGCTCTGATCGGTAGTTTTCCGTGGTTTCTCCGAACAACACCAGGCGAATGCAGGAGCAGTACTATAACAAACGGGCCACGGACCGCCCGCGATCTCACCTTCCTCTTCCTTGTCCTATGCTCACCCCTTACACACACGCACACACATAGGCACACTAACATGCACTACACTACCACACTTGCCGGGAGACCTTTCGGAAGCTCAGAGCTTGTCCCAGTTGCTGACGGTGCCCCGCAGGTGGGAGATATCTGGTTGGGGAAAACGCCGCTAGCCGATGGTTGGTCGGCGCCGGATCTCGCCATACAGCGGGAGAAAGATCACCGCCACTTCTCACTAGACTAATGACCCTGGTAGTTGACGTGCCCCGAAATCACTAAACAATCAATCAATCAATCAAAAGAGCGAGAGGTGTTGATATATGAATTGAAATACATATGAATTACATGTATTTAAGAAATATCCATTATTGGGCAATGGAGAATCCTAACAAGCAGACATGCCACCATTCATATTGAATGGTAGACAAGCGTTTACGTGTTGTAAGTTGCTTGTCTACAATTAAGTATGACTGGTGACATGTCTGCTTGTTAGATGTAAATAATAATGTATTATGTATTGTGTGAAGATGGAGAAAGTACATCTCCGAAACATTATGATGTAACTAATTATAAAGAATAAGGTGATTGTCAATATAAAGTCATTGGACATTACTGTTTTGTTATATTATTGAATAATTCCATGACGATCTATACTTAATAAATTAAATAATAGAGAATTCACAGAGGCTGCGACGTGTAGAACAGCAGTGCCAATGGAAAGTGCATGTATGGAGTGCATTAGAGGGTGATAAAATTATATGATATTTTTTTCTCATTAATATCTTATGGTGTGACACCTCATTAAATATAGTTGGAGTAACAAACAGTTTTATGCCATTCCTTCAAATATTCAGTAAGACAAAAAATCTGCAAATGAGGAAGGATGAAAGGCAGATTTCAGAAAAAACTTACAACTGTTTTGTGAAAATTTGGAATAGGTTTCGTATCTTCAAATACTTCGATCAGCTTCCCTTGCTCTAGTGCGCTCGCAAGGGAAGTGCTGTGTGACCTTCGGTGGCGGACTGTTACATTCTAAATGTCCGCTAAACACGAGCCGCAAAAATCAAAATTACTCAAAAAATGCTTAGCTAACATATGTCGAAGAGTAAATGATTGGATTCGTCTTTTTATGCGCAGCACAATAGACTAAAATTGTATGTATATTTTAATTTCAAAAACAAAATTACCTTAATAATCGTAACATACAAGTGATAAAATAGAAATGAATACTTGGATCAATTAGCCCCATTCCCTTCTAATCATCCGTGAAAACTGTATTTGCAATAACGTCAACCATTGAAGCAGGACGTGGTAAAGTTACTTAATTTTTAATTATAGGTTAAAAACTAGTTATATCGTAGTATAAGGTGCTGTATTATAATATAACTAATAATTAACCTATAATTACATTTTATTGTAAAGTTTATGTATATAAACAATATAAATATTGAAGTTTTAAAATAAATGTGTGTTTGTATTGTGACCGCCTCCGTTTTCCTTTGAAAGGCAGATGACAAATTAAACGCCCATTTTCATTTCAAAATTCGCGGCACGACTGACAGTTGACCACAAGCAACCAGTCAATGTTCCGTGCAATGCACGGAGGTCACAACAGTCGGAATTTGGCGTAGTTATGGGATCGAGAATTTTGGTCGTACCTGAAGAGGAAGCTGTCAGAAAGGTCGCAACCAGAGTGATGGCAAGAAGCTGTATTGGACGGAGTGTCTTTCATCTATTAACAACACGATAATTCATCTGAAGGCAACGAAGTTCGTTAATAGAGGTAAGAGCCTACAAAATTCGACCCGCAAACGGTACTATCTACTTGTCGCTGAATTCATTGAACTTTCGATTCATACGAAAGCGTTTCGTTTCAGCTTTGATTAGTTTCAGCTGTAAGCGTTTCATTCGAGGTAGCGTTTGATTAGTGATATATAACTCATGCATATTGCATATTACGGTTCTGGGAATTGTTAAAATGAGGTAGTGCCACACACTGTTCAACGTTTGGAGAAATTGATGGTATTTGGTATTTTTGGGTGGAATTAATATGACTTTAGCCATCCATGCGGTGTTCCCAGAAATGGACCCGGTTTTCATTATCCACGTCAACAGACAGATGTGCCAAGCAATTACTTTTACCGTATATTTGGCATTCCTGTCTTTTCTTTACGATTCTTTCTTTTCAGAAAAGAAACGATTGTAAGGGAAAACTCGTTGTCTCGAAGCACGCTAGTATTTATTTTGTTGCCGTAAAATGGACGTTAAACAATTCACTTCTTTTGTAGCGGCTAACTGAAGTACTATTAAAGTAAGAGTGAATTTTTATTTTTTTCTTATTTCTGAATTTTCTAATTCGAGTGTGTCTCTGTATAACACATGTATTGTTATTTGTATGAAATTATACAGCGGTAATTCTCTTTGCGCTTACTAATTTCAATAATTTTTTAAAGCATTTACATCTTTAGTTATAATTTTCATCATGAAGGTCAATTTACCTTTCCATCTTTAAGTCAAAAGTCGGGACAATTACAACACGGGATATAGCTTTGATGTTACATGGTCATTCCAACTTATACAATATTGTTTCAAATTAAGAGAAACATGTAAAATATTGAACACATATTTCACAAAATATAGAAACGTTAATAATTTTGTGTTTAATGCCTTTTTGTAAATAGGGGTTTTCAACAATGATGGACATTAAGATATCTTTTAAACATGTACATAAACATAAACATGTACTCATAAACATTTTTTAAGGAGATACTTCTATCAACATTTTCTCGCTACAGAGAAAAACTATGTTTCCAAGCTAGTTTTGCGAAACTTGTTTGTGGAAAATTTTTGAAAATCCCGCGTATTTCAACTAGGTGTTATTGGCTGTTGCAGTGCCTTATATCGAGAGATGAATTCAGGCTTCTTGGAGGGTATGTAATTTTCGTCGCATTGTAAACTAATTTAAACGTTTGTAGAGAAACCTAGTAGAATGACATGGTTCACACACATTCTACTAAGAAAATTATATTATTTGATATACAAATTTCAAAGACTATATAATAAAACTAGTAAAGAATATCCATGAAAAGCAGAAGGGCGTCCCGTCATAATTATGTAGAGAAGTGGTACATTTGCAATAAAGTGTGCATCCCTACAAAAACGAAACGGATTGCAACTTTATGATCAAAATCACCGAAAGCTTCTACACACTATTCCTCCTTTGTGTCCTCCTGTATAATGAAAAATATGGTCTTTCCAAGTATAATTATGTGTAATTATGTGCATTGATGAGATTTACAAGTTACGTTTCTGAGGTCTATCAGGTTGCGAGTTATTCATTTTATACTTCTCCTGAGATGCAAAGGATATTTCATAGATATTTGTCAAGTAAATCAAGTTGTAACCGAGAGTTTGAAGAAAAATAGTATTCACAGAATTAATTTTGCATTTGAGGAACTATACATTTGAGGATATCTCTAATCATTTTATCATGTGGCAAATACATTTGCAAACTTTTGCTACGCGAATTAGAAATCTTGTAGAGCTCCAAAAGCGGAGAAGAGTTTTAGTACATCGTCCTACCCATTTGGCGACATAGAACATGTAAAATAATGTCAATTTTTTTTCGAACGAATTAGAAAATAATAATTTTATTGAACTTGGTGGTTTAATCAAGTTTGACCTAGCAAAGTTAGTAGTGTTCCATATGTTTGTTTTGAGTCGCACCTGACCTAATTAATTTAAATTCTCTAATAGGTATTTTGTAAAATAAGATCTAAATATAACACATTTAGAAAATAATGTGAATAAAAAACAATAGATGATAGAAACCAGTTCGGGGACATTGCCGAAGGTTTCATTTAAATATTGAGATACATTTTTTAAACCAAAGTTCCACATCTACTGCTCAGGGATCGTTGTGGTCTGGATGATCATGAGTCAATGACGAGAGCAAAGAACATTACATCATGGTTCACTCGCGCAGCATTTACCCGAAAATTAATCGCGTGTGATTGCAGTTGTTGCGATTAAAAGCTTACTGCCAAAGATAATGTCAACATTCAATGACTTTGCTGGACACGGGAATCGCAGTAGTGACACTGATCGCGTTTGATCGCGTGTGTGAAAGGGATTACAGACGGTAAATTACGAAAATTATTGCCACCTGCGAGTCTAGTAAGCCGGGAGGATTAAGGGCTAAAGCGATCCGTGACGATTTGCGCTGCTGGCTCCTCGCTGAAGCAGCTTTGTCGATAGCTTACTATTCCTCCGCCTCTTGAAACTTTGCCGTGAAGTTTTGCCGGTACGCGTGGTGTAATGGATGCCATTTTTTACGTGTGAACCGCATTCTCCAAGAAGTTGAACCGCATGCTCCCAACGTTTTAAGAACTAGTTACAAAGAAAAAGGCGAATATCGATTCCAGACGCGGAGTTGGTAAAATACGGTTTCTGGCTCATATACGTGAACTTAAACTTGCCCTCTTGTTCAGAGTAAGGAACGCTTTGGCAGGTACAATAATAGTATCAAACAAATTAATTCTTAGAGTGTATATAACGTTAGCACATCATACCTAGTTTACTTTCCTATTACATTCGAATTAAATAAAACATCATTTTAAAATTTAATTAATCTAATTATTGATAAATTCCTATACCATTCTACTAAATATTTCGTTTTGAACAATCCTATCAATATGCCTTATATTGTTTAGCTTAACTTCTCTATTGACTATCATTGAAAACAATATGTAATAATAATGTATAATTATAATTATGTAATAATTATAATAATAATTATTATTACTATTATTATTATTATTATTATTATTTTCTCAACATTTTTATGGTTGTTTTCAACGGAAAAGATAAACACATAAACATAGTATAATTATAAAAATTAGTAGAATCTTTTTGATCCACATAGTGATACTTATTTCTCAAAAGGCAAGACCTAGATTTCTCTGAATGGTGCAAGAGGCTCCCAGTAGAAATAAGATTAGTTTTTTTTCTCTAAAGCCTTAGCACATTTCCGTTTGCTTTTGTTACTTGTGTCTTCAATAAACAAAATCAGACAAAAAATTTCTTCTTTAGTATTTTTCTCAAGCACTCCGTATCAAAATCTACTCACATTAAACTCAGTATTTCATTTTCATTTCTTTTATAATCAAAGCACCTGACACATTCTACATATTGTATTCTAAAAATTCTTGAGCATTATTAGCTCTGACTGACGGGAGCAAAAATAAAAGCTACATTTATTTCACTGCTCCAGCAAGTACATTGCAATTCTCTCTTGGATAAATTAACGGATAGAATGAGTTGCTTTCAAGAAGAACCTTTTGGAAACACAATGTATGGTTACTACGTCATTCTTTATTTTCAATTCTGTTTTCGGTCTTCCCTTCTTTTCTTATTCTCTCTCCTCTTCCCTCCTCTCTCCTATCTCCTCTTAGCACTTCTATTCTTCTCTTCCTTATTCTTACATCTCTTCTACAATCTCTTAATTCCTTCCCTTCCTGCCCTCTTCTCTCAACATTCTTCCCTTCCCATTTCCCTTCTCTTGATCTCTCTTTCACCTTCTAGTTCTCTCGAAATTCCGTCCGAAAAATTTCCATTTGGTGTGTGTGTGCGTAGGATACAGGTTCCACGCTCTTTTGACGTTAATTCTCAAAAAAGAAGTCTAAACAACTTCTTTTTTTATAGCCTACAGATCAAAAACGTCCGAGAGGGGAAAATACGAAGAAATTTCATGCCAGCCGGAAGTGCGCTCGCAGGGCACAAGCGAATGAAAAGCGGTTCGAGAGTGCTCCGCTGCCAGCGGCGATCACCGAATTCCCACTCGAGAGCCCGAGCGGCCACGTCGCTAACGTCAACCCTTAGCTTTCGGAGTTTCTGATGTCGTAAAAGAATGTAACGAGATCGGAGGCCGTCAAAGAGGGATCAATACCAACGCTACGGCGCCCGGTCGCCGCGCCGCGCAGCGCAGCGCCGCCTGGTCAGTAAACAGTCGCGGTGGACGCGCGCGAACGTCGGGGCGTGGGCGTGAACGCGATCGGGGGCGGCTGCAGGGGCGACGCAACGCTCGACACCCCGGGCAGGAACTCTTACGAAATGAAAATAGAACTTGGTACGGATGTGTCACTTCGAAAGAGAATGTGATGGGTTGCTATGGGGGCAGGTTGTGGGAGAGGCTACAGAGAGTTCGGGAGAGATGGATGCATGGCGATTAAGTACTGCTATTTACAGTGAATTACGTGTCAAATTACCCAATTAGTAGAGTGATTAGAAGATTGACGAAACCGTGTGAAAGGTATTAGACTAATTAATCAGTGGTTCACGAATACAGAAGTAATCTGCGGAGCAGGTAAAATTTGCAGGCTGATTACCCATCCAGAACCTTTATTATGATTTTGTTGAAACTTTGAGTGTTATTATTTGACATTACCCCCAAAGTGAGGTAAACGGACAGCGACATTAAGTGGAAACAGTGGCAGCTGAAATTATTGGAAAAATCCATGTTTGCGGGTGCATATAAGTTCAATTAGATAAGTAACAGGAACAAAAACAGACGAAGAAGCAAACAGTTCAATGATGCCGGATAATTTTACATGGCGAGATTCAGGCCACCACACTTGCTTTACTACTTGACCACGCAAAATCTGACACGCTCCATTCGCAGTTACAGAATGGAGGTAACACTGGGGCGACAAAATATGAGCTTTGAATTTAGCTCGGAGGCTTCTTTTAGGCTTGAGGAACTTTTACATGCAGTAAATCTACAAC